TTTTAGTTTTGGATAAAGTGATGATGGATTCCAACTCTTGTTAGTATTTATTGCTGTCTGAGCCCCCATTAAAGTGTTACTAAACCCACAACAGTAAAATCAGTCTGTATATGCAGCAAAGCATGTTTGTTATACTCTATATAGACTGTATAGCGAGCGCTACCTAAATGTACCATATTCAAATGAAATTTAAAAGCCGCCAGAACACCAAAAAGGTAACCAACAGACCTTTCCAAAAGACTAAAGAGATAAAAAGGTGCAGGGCTTACATCCTCTATACTTATATCGCTTACCATCCATATTCGCTAATCTGTTGTTATACTTTGTTTACTGGGTAGCGTGATCTCCTGTTTCTGTTTAATGTATACTTCAAATGCATGTCTGACTACCCGTCTGCGTCACGGGAGATTGCAACAGTTGTATGTTTGCGGACTGTGTTCCGTATCTGCCTATGATCCAAAATGCCTTTTACTTCAATAAAAAACTTTTTTGGAAAAAAAAAAAAAAAAAAAAAAAGGTGCAGGGCTAGGGAATATAGTGCAAATGACAACTGAAATGTTATGAGCAATATACAAAACTGTTATGAAAGGCACAGTGTGCAATATAATTGATAATCACAATAGAGTAAAATGTCCAGATCACAAGGTATATATCATATAAATCTTGCAGGATCCTGTCTGTGGTGATAATAAACAATCCAGAGGTGAAGACTGTTAGATAAATAGAATGCGCACTCACCAGAAGTGCGTATTAAATACGCATGAAAGAAGTTTCCTTTCTCATCAAACCCCTAGGTCATCAGCATTCTGGTCAGGCTGCATTCCACATCGTCCTCTGCCTCCCCGAAATGATAGGATTCCAAGACTCATCAAGCAATCACAGACATCAGGGGTCCCCCTTTAAAAGCAGGCGCTGCAGAAGGTGGTGCTCCCAAAGAGAGCCCAATAAGGGACACCACATAGTGTAATATTGCCTTGATGAACTTTAATTCAAAGTGATAATAAACAAAAACAATACTGACCAAAAATTCAGGATGGCCACCAGTGGTGGCTAGATTTCCAGATGCTGTAGCCCTCTGACGCGTTTCGTGCTAAGCATGTCCTCATAGGGTGCAGGGTGTTTGTTATACTCACTGTGGAACCTAAGGGGTTAATCCTCTGCATTGTGCAAAATAGATGTTTGATCCTGTCTTCTCTGATCCTCCCCTTCTTCCATGTTCCCCAATTCATCTTCTGATAGAACACAGCCTCGGGGACATTGTGCACATGCTCATTTTGTTGTATACTGATAGAGAGTTTTTAATTCTTCTTGGGAGGGTGCATGTGACCAGCACAGGGCCAATCAGCCCTGTCCAGACAGAGGGTCAGGGGTCATGCAATCTCATAGGGGAGTGAGAGGAGAATGAAAACTCCTACAAGCTTTAATCAGTGCTCAGCTGGACACTGATAGAACTCACAAGACTGCTCTAACTGCTAATGAGAAAACAAAAATAATTGCATTTCCTTGTTCTGTGTACTGTGGGAGACCAGATATAGTGAATGCAGGGTCCTGGGTTTAGTAAAAATGTAGGGAAATTCGCCCTCTCTATTTGTTCTGTTTATCATCATCAAAGTGAAAGTAAAAGAAAATCCCAAATTTTGGGTTGTCCCCAGAAAAGTAATAGAGTAGAAATCTTCCAATGTGGACACTAGTTCTGGTGACCTGGGGGTCCCAAGGAATTATCTTAATTTGCATGGATTTCTTCTCACTGCCTATTTAGCTATGGGACAGGAAGTGAAGAAAAATCTCCACAATGGGACACAGATAGCGTAAACAAATCTGACAGCAGTTATCCTCCCTTGCTCAATTATAAATGAGAAAAAAAAGTTTTGCCTATATTTCTACTTTAACCTGCTAGTACTTGTTATGACAATGCATATTTTAGGCCTTGCCCAGGAACATGTGTGATGGGAATATATTGTGTGAGAAGCCAGAATACAAGGTAAATGCATTTTTCTATTGATAGTTTTTTTTTGATGATGTCAGTTAGCATATTTTATTCAAGGTGCTGCCAGGTAAAAGAACATTGCATTCTGTACATCTGAAAGCATCTACAGTAATGGTGAACTGAAAAAGAAACTTTATGTGCTAGCAGAAAAAAATCTATATATAATGTAAAGAATAGCTGTCTTTGTTTTAAGTTGCAGCTAATTTGTCATTGGGTTTCTTAATAGTGTAGTTCAGGGTTTCTCAACCAGGATTTCATGGGAACCCTAGTGTTTTTCTAGAGGTTACTAGGGGTTCCTTGAGCAATGAGCTATCTCTCTGCCTCTCAAATAAGTTCCCACTGTCCCATTGATCCTTTTAGTTACCTGTAAGGGGGTACAGTTGTGACCAAAATTATTCAACCCCACTGAAATTGAGTGTTTTGGCCAGTTTGACATTGCTTTTGATCATTCAGTCATCTTGCTTACATTTACATTAAAGAGGCACTTGTAGGTCAGACAAATATAACATAACAGTTATAATGAAATAACCACAAATGTCTTTTCTGTGCTCACAGCATTATCAGTTTTATTCAACCCCCAAGTGACATTCAATCTTAGTACTTAGTACAGCATCCTTTTACAGTTATAACAGCTTTTAAACGTGAAGCATAGCTTGACACAAGTGTCTTGCAGCGATCTACGGGTATCTTCGCCCATTCTTCATGGGCAAAGGCCTCCAGTTCAGTCACATTCTTAGGCTTGCGCACTGCAACTGCTTTCTTTAAGTCCCACCAGAGGTTCTCAATCGGATTTAAGTCTGGTGACTGCGATGGCCACTCCAAAATGTTCCAGCCTTTCCTCTGCAACCATGCTCTAGTGGACTTGGAGGTATGCTTGGGATCATTGTCCTGTTGAAAGGTCCAACGTCTCCCAAGCCTCAGGTGTGTGACGGACTGCATCACGTTTCCATCCAATATCTCCTGGTACTGAAGAGAATTCATGGTACCTTGCACACGCTGAAGCTTCCCTGTACCTGCAGAAGCAAAACAGCCCCAAAGCATGATTGACCCTCCACCATGCTTCACAGTAGGCAAGGTGTTCTTTTCATCATAGGCCTTGTTCTTCCTCCTCCAAACAAAGCGTTGATCCATGGGCCCAAACAGTTCTAATTTTGTTTCATCAGTCCACAGAACACTATCCCACAACTTTTGTGGTTTGTCCACATGGCTTTTGGCATACTGCAGTCGACTCTTCTTATTCTTTGGAGACAGCAAGGGGGTACGCCTGGGAGTTCTGGCACGGAGGCCTTCATTACGCAGTGTGCGTCTTATTGTCTGGGCTGAAACTTCTGTACCCACATCTGACAAATCTTTTCTCAGTTCCTCAGCAGTCACACGGGGACTTCTCTCCACTCTACGCTTCAGGTAGCGCACAGCAGTCGAAGTCAGCATCTTCTTTCTGCCACGACCAGGTAGCGTTTCAACAGTGCCCTTTGCCTTGAATTTGCGAATGATGCTTCCTAAGGTGTCTCTTGGTATGTTTAACATCTTTGCAATCTTCTTATAGCCATTGCCCTTCCTGTGAAGAAATCACCTCTTCTCTTGTCTTCCTGGACCATTCTCTTGCCTTCACCATGTTTGTAACCACACCAGTAAATGTCTAGAAGGAGCTGAGTATCACAGTCATTTTAAAGCTGCCTAATTGGTGCTTATTATGCTTGATTGCTGCTCGGTGACATCCACAGGTGTTTTCAATACCTGATGGAAAGCACCTGTATGAACCTCTGTTCTTCAGAGTGGTAGTCTTTAAGGGTTGAATAATTGTGGCAATGAAAGAAACCACATAAGAACCATTTACTACTGTATTACATAAACAATTGATGTCATTTTAGTTGCATTTGGGTAGTTACAAGTCCTTGTAGGATTGATTCTGAATACAATTCCAAAATGTACACTATAGTCCCTAAACCCCTTTACAGCATTGGGGGTTGAATAATTTTGGTCACAACTGTAATTCTTCCCCAATCATTGCAAATGTAAGGAGCATTCTTCCCACTGACCATAACACTAATGAAACATGAGTTGTAGATATAGTAACTTTTAGCAGGAGTTTCCTGACACTGGAAAGATATTTCAGGGGTTTCTCCATGTTGAAAAGGTTGAGAAAGGCTGGTATAGTTGAATAGAGCAGGGCATGCAATGAAAATCTGGTGCATATTTTATCTTCCTGTTTGTTTATGATGGTATCATTCCCATGGCATTTGGTACCAGGGGTGGACTGACCATTTGGAAACTCGGGCACTGCCCGAGGGCCCGGGGTCAGTAGGGGGCCCCATGACATGCCCCTGGTACCTTTTTCATATGCTTTTTTGAGTTTAGGCAAGGACACAGGGGCCCCATGATCCCCTATTGCCCAGGGGCCCCATGAGTTGTCAGTCCGCCCCTGTTCGGTACACCACAGTTCCAATAAAGTATTGCTAGACTGATCCAGTATAAAAAAGAAAGATTGACAAAGTCCTGGAACTCTCACTTCCTGTTCCCAGCTGAGTGTGTCCTGGGACAAAGGAGGAGCTGTTAGTTCACACCTCATTTTAGGCAACACATTTTAAGCCTAATACGCCAGTGCCAAAGTCCATGATCAAAGAGCATCATGAGAAATCAGTTTTGGCAATAGCTCTAGAAAATACTACAACGACCTCTATTCCCCTAAATAAACAAGCACGTCAGTGGCTGACAGATTCTTGTCAGGTATCGCTAACGTTATTGATCCTGCAGGGTTGCCGGCCACCAATGCTCCCTTGATGTTGGAGGACCTGCACTCTTCCGCCAGATCCTTTAGGCGGGGCAGGACCTCGGGTTGTGACGGTCTCCCAGCGGAGCTCTATGTAGCGCTGTGCGATTTTGTGGGCCCAGACCTGCTCTAGCTGTACGAGGAGATGGTGGTGGAGGGCAGAATGCCTCCTTAATTGAGGGAAGGGATGATCACGATGTTATATAAGCGTAAGGGGGAGAGATGTGTTTTGAAAAATTGGCATCCCATCCAGGATGTAAGGTTCTAACCAGGGGCGGACTGACCATTTGGAAACTCGGGCACTGCCCGAGGGCCCGGGGTCAGTAGGGGGCCCCATGAGATGCCCCTGGTACCTTTTTCATAGGCTTTTTTGAGTTTGGGCAAGGACACAGGGGCCCCATGATCCCCTATTACCTGGGTCCCCATGAGTTGTCAGTCCACCCCTGGTCCCATCTCTCTCTTGAATGTGGACTACAAGATCCTCGCTAAGGTTCTGGCCAACAGTCTGAAGGCCGTCATCGGACAGATCATCCACCCAGATCAAACTTGCAGCATTCGTGGTTGCAGGATTGCAGACAGCCTCGTGCTTGGTCCAGTTAATCAAAGACCGCTGTGTGCACGTGGCCCTGGTCAGCCTTGACCAGGAAAAGGCCTTTGACTATGTCTCTGATGGGTTTATGTGCAGAGCCTTGTGCAGGTTTGTTCTTCGGAAAATGTTTTGTTTGTATGTTGACCTTATGTACACTGATATTTGTAGTATGGTGTTGGTGAATGGCTGGAAAACTGACCCCTTCCCGGTCCCCTCCAGGGTCAGACAAGGCTGCCCTCTCTCACCTCTGCTTTTTGTTTTGCTGTGTAGAGCTCTTTGACAAATGCATCAGATGGAATCCTGAGATCAGAGGGATCACCGTACCAGAACCAGACAGAAAGGAAGTGAAGTGCTCGCTCTACATGGATGACGTGATGGTGTTCTGTGCTGATCAGCACTCCATCGACCTGCTTGTCCAGACCTGCAAGAACTTCGTCCAAGGTTCAGGGACAAAAGTCAACTGCGGGAAGTCAGATGTCATGCTCTTTGGAAAGTGGTTCCTGCCTTCTGCATCCATCCCTTTCAGCATCAAGACAGACATCATCAAAATTTTAGGAGTCTGGCTTGGTGCTGCGTGCAGAGACCTGAAGTCTTGGGACGAGAGACTGTTGAAGATGAAGAAAAAGTTTGGACTTTGGAGCCTCAGAGAACTTACAATCGAAGGGAAGACAATGGTGCTCTGCAGCGAGATTCTCCCTGTGTTGCAGTACCTCGCCCAGGCCTGGCCCCCACAGGTCAACACCTGCAACGCCATCACCAGGGCGGTGTTTTACTTCATCTGGGGCTCCAAGATGGACAGAGTGAAGTGGGCAGTCATGTTCAAGGAGCCCCTCAAGGGCGGTAAGGGCGTGCCTGACATCACCACTCAACTGAGGGTATTCTTTGCCTGCAACATCCTCAGGACTCTGCTGAACCAGACTATAGACTCTGGCAGAAACTCCATGTCACGTTTTTTCCTTTTGCCCCTCTGGAGGTCCCTCGGATGGGACAAATGGAACAGTTCCATCCCCTACAACTGGGATACTCCTTGATATTACTTGGACACTTAACTTTATCAAGAAGCAGTGGCTACATGGAATCAAGCCCAACTTGTGGAAGCCAAAAACAATCTACAAAGCTAATTAGAGCAAAGGACATTTTAGAGTTGGTTCCAGGCCTGCCTTCAGCCACTTGCAAGGCGGTCTGGAGGAATGTTTCTTCAAAGAGACTCACCAACAGGCACAAGGACCTGGCATGGATGGTGATCCAAGGGGGGTTGCCACTCAGGGCATTTATACATGCCAGAAACCTGAGCAGATACAGGCACTGCCCTTTTTGCATCATCCAGGAAGAAACGGCTCAGCACATTTTCTGGGAGTGCTCTTTTGCTCAGGACCTGCTGAGAGCCTTGGAACTAGAACTCAAAGACTTTGTGCCACAGGCAGCCTGTCAGGGCAGGAGCGGTGGAATGGACGGGCAGGCCTAATGGTAGGGTCACGCACCGACTGACGACAGCCACCACCCACAGACCGGAGTCCCTCAGGGCGCGGAGTCTAAGCCCAAGGCTGCCTTTCACCAGGGCCCCTGATGGTGGGGATGGACTTGACGCAGCCAGGGACCAGGTCGCGGCCCCCCCGAGTAACCCCAGCTGCGGTAATGGCCAACGCCAGTGGCGTATAGCTGGTGGGAACCAAATGGGAAATGATAGCGTAGTCGGACAGGCCAGGTCGATAACAGCGGGACTACAGTACAAGACGGTAGGCAAGAATACACAGGTCACGAGCCGGGTTCAGCAACGGGAGGTCAGATAAAGGGATAAGGCAGAGAATAGTCTTAGTCAAAGCCGAGTCGGTTTCCAGGAGAACAACGAGAGTAGAACCAGAGCTTGCTGCAACACAATCATACAGGACACAAATACAAAGAGCAAGTGCAGACAACAGGCTTAAATGTGATCAACCACACACCTCTGGAGGAGGGACCGCAGAGGCATGAAAGCATAAAGGGCTAAAAAAAACCTAAGATGCCAGCACATGGAGCAGCACCAACTCTGAGGAAAGGTAGGACCTTGACACAACCATCACACACTGATTCAGTGTGTTGAAGGGACTTTTCTGTGGGACTTTTACCCTGGAGGACATTGACGGCACCTGGAAGGTGCTGTGTTGTTTCAAGGATGCTTTATGGTGCACTAGGAAGCGCCTTATCCACCAGCGGGAGAGGATGTCCATTGAGGACTGTCGCAGACTGGTCCACAGTTTGCTGAGACTATAACTTGATGGATTTTAAGGAGGAAGAGGACGCCTGAAGATCTCCCCTTCCCCCTACTTTCCCTTGCGTGTCTTTGTCCTTTCAATAAAGCTTCGGGCCTGTGAATTCTGTTTCCCCTCCCTCTGCCCTCCTTCCTACCCCTCCATCACACCCAATGGTTATTTGACTTGTTTTTGTACAGTCGATAATGTTTTGTATGCTATGGTTTATGTTGCGGCGCCATGTGGGATGTGTGGAACAGGGGTTTAACTAAGGTGCTGCACATCTGGCATCGCGCCACTGGTGGAACCTTAGGGGACCACAAACAGTCTCGGTGTAAGCGGTGTCATGCATGGCGAACGTTTTGCTCCGCACACCATGTTAGGCATCATACCACTGAGTGAATGTATTTATTGTATGCTTGGAACTGTATTGTTATGTGGTGTATTTATGTATTTATGTGTCGCAGTACAGGGTGAAACATATCCTGACTAAAGTATCTTGTTTTTTTATACTTTTTATATAACGAAGTATATTTTTTTCAACAAAAAAAAAAAAATGCTCTGGAAAATGTTATTAGTGCCAGAAACCAGCATTCAATGGAGAATGAACTCATCAACTGTCTTGTACAATGTTGATGGGTTCTTTACAGACATCTTGAGAGAGAGAGGCAAAGCCATGACAAACTCAGCTGAAAAAAATAGTTATGACAGCAATACTATATAATACAGATTTTTTTTTAATGCACACACTCTGAAATTTCAAGTTAAAAATAGTGCGTGGATGCAAAATTGTTTCTTGTGGCTTTTTGCAGAAGGTCTCCAATCTGTTTTGCAAGCATAGTGCAGGACCTGGGATTTTCTATGACCTTTTCATTTCAGCTTCTCTGGCTTTATAGCCCAGAGGGCTTAAGCTTTTCACACTTTCCTCTTAAGCTGGCCATACTCACAAAGTTTTCTTTTGCTCAGCCCATGGGCTGAACAAAAGGAATCCAACAGATTCCTCTATCCACATTGAATGACATGGATGGATGAATGTTTCCTTTTGGCTGTTGCAGTCTGCCAGCTGGTGACCACGGTTATCAGAATACCTGAACAATGACTACCCTGACTGGCTGCAGTCAATGTTTGACCAACAACTTTACACCCGGCTGCTTCAATCATTACTTCGAGGTATACTGAGCTGGGAGGAGCCAGCACAGACACCCACAGATTGAATTTTGGCCAATTCAACTAGAGAGTCCATAAATGGCAGAGCAAATTCTTGCACAGAACAATGTAGCCCCCCCAATCCTATCCTATCCTATTCTGTCCTGTCCTGTGTTTCGTCTTTCTAATTTGTTGACAGCTGCATTTTTGAGATAGGTAGCAGGTGGCTCATAGTTGTGCAGGAGGGAGGCTTGGGTGGGGATAGAACTGCCCTATCACCTGTCTGATTCCTGGTAAAAACAAAAAAACATTCCAGCAGAGAACTTTCTGTAAGGAAATTATTCAATTTCTTCCCTTAGGTGGTAGCACATCCTCATCACCTCCTTCTAATGAAGAGAAAAGGAAAGATGACAATAATTAACAAAAAATAATGATAATGCAAAAGGTAATGGAGATTACTAAGCATGTGTGCACAATTTTAAACTCGTTTTTCCCCAAGGAACCCTTAAATTAATTACCAAGTCTTCTAAAACCAATTAATCAGCAGTCAGTAGTACAAATGTACCTTACGTTGATGGTCAGTGGTCAGAATGCTGTCCTCACAGTCAGCTTAAAAGATCCTATCAACTGGGAGGTGAATCATTCACAGCTCATGGAACCTCTGGAGGACCCTAAGGTTCCAGGGAACCCTGGTTGATAATGGCTGCTTTAGAGTGTTTGCATTAAAAAAATATTTCGTTTATAAGCAAAGATGGGAAATGTATCTAACACCTTCTCTAACTTTTTTCTTATATAATGCATCCTTTTTTGTGCAAGGGGGAATATTGCACTCATGTGCCAACCCCACTATGTTTGTGTACGTTCTCTTAAAAATAATAAAAATTATTGAAATAAAAAAAAAGAAAATCTAATTGTATGTCTGTGAGTGGGTAAAAGAAAAGAATATCTGCTGGAAAGTGAGTTTGTTGCCCCTTATAACTAACTAACTAACTAACCACTTGCTTACCGGGCACTTTCAGCCCCTTCCTGCCCAGGCCAATTTTCAGCTTTCAGTGCTGTCGCACATTGAATGACTATTGAGCGATCATGCAACACTAAACACATGAAATTTTGATCTTCTTTTTTAGACACACAGAGCTTTATTTTGGTGGTATCTAATCACCACTGGGTTTTTTATTTTTTGCTAAACAAATGAAAAAAGTCCAATAATTTTGAAAAAAAAAAAGGGTTTTTTTTTTTAGTTTCTGCTATAAAATTTTGCAAACAGGTAATTTTTCCCCTTCACTGATGTGCGCTGATGAGGCTGCACTAATGGACACTGATATGCAGCACTTATGGGTACTGATAGGCTGCACTGATGGGTACTTATGAGGTGGCACTGATGAGTCGGCACTGATAGGCTGCACTGATTTGCGGCACTGATGGGCACTGATAGGTGGCACTGATACGTGGCATGGAAGGTCATTGGTAGGCTGCACTGACTGGTGGAACTGATGGGCACTGACTGGTGGCACTCATAGGCACTGACTAGAGGCACTGATGGACACTGATGGGAGGCACTATCACTGACTGGCGGCACTGATGGCCTCTGGCAGCACTGATGGACACTGTTGGGATTGCACTGATGGACACTGTTAGGGCTGGGGGCTGCAGTGGACTGCCTCTGTATTTTTAAATACACTTGCCAATTACTGGCTCTCCTCTTTGTTGTGACAGCTTGAGGAAAGTGCAGCCCATAACTGGCAACTGTACATTGTGATCAGCTGTGTCATTGGACACAGTGGGTAAAAGGGCACTCTGATTGGCCCTTTACCATGTCATGTGATCAGCTGTGTCCAACTGACACAGCAATCACACAGCTCACAGAATGCGCTCCACAGGGGATGTGGTTCTGGAGGACATCATATAACGTCCTCCCAGAACTAGATGAATGCACTGTAGCAGTCATTCAGATATAGCCTGGTTGTCAACTGGTTAAACACTTCTGCACTAGTTAATTATTATTATACAGGATTTATATAGCGCCAACAGTTTGTGCAACATTTTACATAATGAAGGGGGACAAAACAGCTACAATACAATTTCATACAAAAGACTGAAATCTATCTGATCGTTGTGAAATGCTTAGTCATTTTATTTCAGTTGTTGTACTGTGTTAGCAATCAACAAAATAGAAGTTTGTATTTAAGCCAGACAAACATGGATCAAAATTCAGCTGGCTCAGCAGAACCTGAATTACTTCTGTACAACCGCCCTGTTGGATTTTTGCCGCTCTAGCACTGCGTGTTATATCCAGCGACACTGATCATTTTTTTCAGACAGCGGTGAAGTCTCCCCACTATCAGCATACAAAAGCTCACTGGGGGGATTCCCCCATCAACACGTTCGCAGTCAGTTTCAATTCGCTGGTTGAATTAAAACAACTGACTCATGTATGTGCTGCCTTGGGGTGATAACATTTACTGTCTAACTAGATAGTATAGGCTTTCAAAGCAAGCTGTTGCCTGACCAAAGCTGACCATAGATGGTTTGAATCTTCGCCAGTTCAGCAGGGACTGGCCAAGAGTCGAACCATGTATGGACAGGTTGAATGTATCTAAAGTGATCAATCAACTTGGGTACAACCAGCCTGTCAGATTTTATATGCAATTATTTCTAGTGGCTATTATAGCTTCTAGCAGTAATCACTGTGTTCTCCCAATGGGGACGGCTCCCCTGACCCCCCCCCCCTTCTGGGAGAACACAATGGCTCAGCGGGAAGAATTCCCCCACCAACACTGAAAATCGCTCCATCTATGGCTGGCTCAAGAGGGCAGCGTAAGTCAAAAGCTTACACTACAATCTATTTAGCCAATAAATGCTATCACCCGAAATCCAAACTTCCATTTTACTAAGCAGGTATTCTCTAACATTGAAATAAAGTTGGATAATACAAGTTGCTTGCTTGTAGAGTAGATATATTTAACATATACATATATATTTTGTAAACAGTTCCAAAGGTAGCCATGGCACTCTATGTTTGAGATAAATGCCCAGGTGCTCACCCACAAAGAAATCCATATAAATCCAAAACTGCTTTAGAGGCACTCACAGGTCTTGCAGAGGAGGAAGATCAAAAACAGCAATGTTTTATTGTCAATGTTTCAATGAAGCTCAGTCCGTCTTTCTCAAGATGTCTTGAAAAAGATGGACTGAGCTTCTTCGAAACGTTGACAATAAAAACACTGCTGTTCCTGATCTTCCTGCTCTGCAAGACCTATGAGTGCCTCTAAACCAGTTTTGGATTCATATATATTTAGTGATAGAACATAAAATAGAATCCCCCATGGCAGGATTTAGTGACTAATTCTGTTGTTGTCATTGAGTAGGACAATATGACCTGAGTGAACTAAAAGGCTTAGCACACCATCAGAGAACAAATAAAATAGCTTATTATCTTGGATCACCATGGAAACTGGAACATCAATGGGTAACATAAAAAGAAAATTGAGTTTCTCTAGAATATCATTTTAATATTTGCACATTTTAAAGACATTTATGCATGTGTTTATAGGACACAGATCAATAACTTGCATTGCA